ACTTAACGAGCACATTGCCTTAGGTCCTGGGGAATGGGTCACCGCGCACTATGTCCTCCAGGGTGACCTTGAAGAGGCTTGCACGTTTCCTGTTGATGCGCAAAACACTCATGCACGGCGATATGCATACAGGCGCATTAGGGATATCTGCAGCCTCCCTTTTGACGATGTTTTCTACGCCAGCCACTGCCTCTGCTTCTTCGACTTGAAGAGGAAAGTATCGCCCACGCCCAGTCGAGTTGACATGTGGGAAGTTGGTTTTTACACAAGTGCCGTTGTACCGGGCAACCGACCTTTCACCTCTGTCCTCCTGAGCTATGGGATCTTTCTCTTTCTCGGCGGGCCGCGACTTGTCATGCAAGACTGGCAACTTGGACTTGTCCTCCTTGGGGGTATTGTCTGCTGTGTGGCCTCCTTAGCCGGCCGCGCTAGGAAGCAGAGACGCAGGGAGAGCCAATGTAGTGTGCACTCTGGCCACTACAGGCCTGGCCCATGCACAGCCCTGCTTTTTGCAACTGTGCTCCCTCTTACCACTTGTGCTGTCAGCATCCAGGACCGCCCCGTGCGCATCCCTCATAGCCATGAGCACAGTGGAATTACCAGCAATGGATGCAGAAAGCCTGTTCAGGGACATGGCCCACACTACCTGACAGCCGCCATCGTAGGGGTTCCCCGACGAATAGCCACACCCTGCCGTAGCTATAAAGCTGCCGAGGTAAGAGATTCTGGTAACGGTCCACGGAAGGACACAGCTGTCGGCGAGGATGGGGCTGCTGGTGACTTTACGCTCGAGACTCTTCTTGAACAAAGTGCCAATGCCCCCGGCAATAGAGCCTTCTTCCTTGCTTGCACTCTGCTGGAAGTGCTTCAGGAACTTCAGCCTGACGGTCATAGGAATGAACAGGCCGCACCTAGCTCAGAAAATAAACCCAATCACCACAGCAGCCGTCATTGTAGCCTCGCTGCCACCCTCCCTTCTCATGTCAGCCATAATCTCAGTGATGCCTCCTTGCACATTGGCAAGACCATTGACGAGGCCATTGTCTTTCTGAAGCATCCGTGGGATCTCACCCGAGCAATGCCAGTCGGAGTAGCCCTGCATCCAGCCACCATCCAGGCTTTTGACTTGTTCATTGCCAATAGTGAAGATGGAGGGGATTGCCTCTATACACATGTCTTTACTGACGGCTCGTACAACGGCACGCTCAGTGCCTGGGCCTTTTGTGTCATTGAGCAATGGTCAGCCGGGTTTAGATTTATAGGCTGGGCTAGGGGCACGGTTAAGCTCGCCTCTGAGAGGGGTCACCTTGGGGCTGCCGCGCACTCGGCCGTTGAAGCCGAAAGGAGCGCATTGTTCTGGGCTGTGGTATGGATCCTCTCTACGAGTCAGGGGACATTCCGTGTTTGGACAGATTCCTTTGTCGCGTCTCGACAAACAGGCGGACAATGGGGTGGCACAGATACCTCCGCCTCTGCCAGGGCTTGCCGTGCTGTAGCACAAGCTGCCGAAGCCGCGAAGGATGTCTGCTTCCATGCATATGGACATGTCCGCGCCCATCAGGGCAACCCCTTCAATGAATGCGTAGATGTTTTGGCCAAGGACTTTGGGCTTGCTGACACTGACATACCAGAGCCTTTGCATGACATCTTGAAATGGGTTGAGGATGGTTCCGTTGATTGGTTATGGCTCCTGTATGAAACTGCTAGATGTCCCGACCAATGGCCTCTCGTCAAAGGTGCCAGTCTGGTAGATCCTAACAGGGCCGATCAGGCTGGCCCTGTGCCGCATTTACGTTTTCTTAGCCTTTGCCAGGCCCGACTGATGCTGCTGCTGTTGGAGCTGTGAACGCCACGGTTCGTCTGAGCCTACGTGTTGCGACTATCAATGTCCAGACCCTCGCTGAGGACCGCACAAATAACATTCAAGGCCGTGTCCCATACATACGTACCCAGCTTGATGAGCAGCACATAGGCCTCACAGGGCTACAGGAGACCCGGGCTAGGACTACCGAAACTGTGACCTCCAATTCCCACCTTCGCTACATCGCCGCCTCAGATAGCCAAGGTGGACTGGGAGTCGAACTTTGGGCTTCCAGACAAGTCCCATTTGGTTGGCAAGCAGGAAAGCCTCTCTACTTTGCAGCAGAGGACTTTAAGGTCTTGGGTTGGTCCCCTAGACATCTCTTTGTTAAGTTCACCCGTGGGTCCCTTCGCTTCCTTGTAGTTGTGTGCCATGCACCCACTACTGCCGATAAAGAAAGGGATGCCTGGCGGCGGAACTTCACTGCTGACTTGGCGAGGATCGCCCGAGGCTTGTCGGTCTGTATCCTTGGGGACCTTAACCTTAGACTCACCTACCCGTGGGAAAACCGCGTTGGCGATCTCTGCTGGGAAGAAGGCCCAGATCCGCCACAGGCTTTCTTTCAGATGCCACGGGATCAGCAACCGCGGGTGCCGTCGACATACGCTGCGTGCCATTCTGGCCCATCCCATACCTGGGCCTCACCGGGACACGGCTCCCTCTCACGCATAGACTTCATACTCATCCCAGACTCCTGGCAAATTGGGGGAGAGGGGTCCCGGGTCCTGCATGAAGTTGACTTCGCACAAACCGGGGTTGACCATTATGCTGTTTCTCTGCATATAGAGACCCTGCTAGAGGGAGCTGACCGCAAGCCTCGCCGACCACCCAAAATCAACGTCACTAAACTCCACCAGCCGGAGTCCAGAGACACGGTGTACGCTGTCTGTGCCACGATTCCTCCTGTCCAGTGGAGTGTTGATTCCCACACCCACTACGATGCCTTTGCCAAACACCTTGCAAATAACCTTGCGATTGCCTTCCCGTTTCAGAAAGCTGCTTGCAGACGTCCGTTCATTTCTGATCACACATGGCAGCTTAGACAGCGGAGGGTCAGTCTACGCCGCGGTGTTCACAGGGCTACAGCCTGCATACTTTGTGCTGACAAAGCTGTTGCATGGAACGTTTGGAGGAAAGGCCAGCGCTGGTCAAGGGCCCTTGCGGCTGTCTTCGCCGAAGTCTTCGGTAGAGCAATTCAGCTTAGGCTCGATATCGCTGCACTTCGTGGCCTCAAGGCGCCCCTGAGGAGAGCCCTACTCCAGGATAGACAGAAGTACCTTAGAACTGTTGCCCAGAGCGCTGCCTCTTCTTCAGTTAAGTCAACAGTTGATAAGCTTCGCCCTCTCATAGGACCGCCCAAGCGTAAACAGCAAGGCGCACAGGCCATCCCCTCTATCAGACTTGAGAATGGGGAAATCGCCAGTGACAATGCAGAGGTTGAAGCTAGATGGATCAGGCACTTTAGTGCAATTGAGGCTGGGGGTCCCTGCCCGCCCCTACACATAGCGCGACAGTGCTTTGATAGACAGAGTGCCCAGGCTGAAGCCGAAATTGACATTCATCGAGATGAGCTTGCCACGCGCATACAGATTGAAAACAGCCTTCGGGCTTCGTCTTGCGGCAAGGCCTCTGGGCGTGACTGCGTCCCCTCTGATCTGCTGCACTGTTTTCCGGCAGCTCTCTCGAGATCTCTATATCAGATTTTTCTCAAGCTTGCTCTGAGGCTTGAAGAACCCCTTCAATGGAAGGGTGGTGATTTGCACGCTATCTGGAAGCGTAAGTCTTCGCCTCTTGAGTGCAGCAGCTTCAGGGCCATACTTGTCAGCAGTGCCGTAGGTAAGGCCGTCCACGGCGCGTTGCGACGGCAGTGTAGCCCATATCTTGATGCTGCTTCAGTGCCTCTGCAGATCGGAGGTCGCAGGGGATTTCCAGTGACTCTTGCACTACAGACGGCTCGACTTTGGCAATCCCTGTGTGGACAACACAAGACCAGTTGTGCACTTTTGTTCTTGGATCTCAAGGAGGCGTTCCACAGAGTTGCAAGGGCGCTCGTGCACGGTGGGGTTCCGGACTACCAGTCGATCCAGAATGTCATCGCGACGCTTGGATTGTCGCCTGATGTCGCCCCAAAGCTCCAAGCCTACGTTGGACAGCAGTCCCTCATCGCCAAGGCCGGGGCCCCTGAAAGCCTGGCGAGGATGATTGCTGAGACCAATCAGGATACGTGGTTCGTTCACGGCACCCTTAACGGGACAGCCGTAGTCAAAGCCGGAACTAGGCCAGGCGACAACCTGGCGGACATGGTGTTCTCGTTTTTATTTGGGCAGCTCCTTACCAAGCTTCGGAGTAAGTTCGCCGATGAAGGCCTAACCGTAGCATTGCCCTGGAGTCCGGCCTGGCTCCATGCGAGCCCAGCCACAGTTGACACGTCGTGTAGCTGTGGCTCTCAGGCTCCTATCGACGTGACTTGGATGGATGACCTAGCGCTCCTCATCCAGGGCGACACGCCTGACATCCTGCTCGGAAAAGTCAAGGTCATCGCCACGGCCACAATAGATGAGTGCATCCGCGCAACTCTTGTTCCCAATCTTGATGCTGGCAAGACGGAGTGCGTTGTCGCCCTTGTTGGCAAAGGCTCCAAAAAGCTGAGTGCTGCCCTCTTTAAGGACAGCGACCCTACTGTTCCTCTGCATTCCAGCATATGGCCCTCTGCCAGACTGCGCTTGGTTGCGACATACAAGCACGTCGGAGGGATCATCCAAGCAGGAGGCGGTGCTAGTAAGGAGCTTCGCTCGAGAATTGGAGCAGCGTGGACGGCGTTCCGCAAGCATCGCCGACAAATCTTTGCGTCGCCTATCGTAGCACCGCATGACAAGACAGTATTGTTTGCCTCACTTGTTGAGTCTTCTCTGTTGTACGGGGTCGGGGCGTGGCCCAGATATCGCGACAGAGTCTCAGAGCGCATACAGCATGTTCTTGTAGCCGTGGCATGCTAAGGCCGAGGTTCTCCTTTCATGCTGCTCGGCACATCAGTGCTCTATACGCCTTGGCCCATGCTAGGATCCTTCCTGCTGATTCGCTTATACGTCTGGAAAGGCTAAGGCACTTCAAGACTGTAATCCTTAAGGCATGCCCCGAGATGTGGGCACTATTGCACGCTGAAAGGACCTGGTTGGAGCTAGTCCAAGAGGACCTCAGCTGGGCATGGCAACTCCGCCTAAAGTCTGGGCATGCTGAACATAACATTGGAGACTGGGACACCGCTGTGTCCATCATCAGCCACAGTCCGGGCCAGTGGAAGAGCATCGTGCGTCATGTCAAGCAGACAGCTGCGATCGAACTGTCGTGGACGGCTGAAGTGCAGCAATACCATGGGCTCGTCTTCAGACAGCTAAGAGGAGTTGGCGCGCTTCTTGCTGATGGTGTCTGTGGACCGGACAGTCATCAAGAGCTATGTGCGTGCTGTGGGCAGGTCTTTCAGGACCTGCGTGCCTGGTCACATCATGCGTTCAAGGTCCATGGTCGTAGGCGGGAAGAGCGTTTCCTCGCGAATGGGCAGCAATGCCCAGCCTGCTCAAAACACTACCCAGACACACAGAAGCTCTGCAACCATCTGCGCCACTCCAAGAAGTGCAAAGCGGCTTTGATTGCTGGAGGCGCATGGGCAAAGCCAACTCCTGGGGTTGGCAGCAGAGTTTATAATAATAGGAAAATTTCACAGCTTCCTGTTGTCCAGGCACAGGGGCCGGGCAAGCCTCTTACCCAGGAGGATGTTGTCTTCGAGGCTGATCGGCCTGATGATCACGTCCTTAACTGCCTTGAAGAACATTTTTGCCATGATTCCGGGACAGTTGCCACGTTTGCTGAAGTTGTTGAAAGGTACAGGCAGGCTTTTCGCACGCAATGCCTGCAAACGTCCCGGTTACGAGCCACTGCTAAGGCATGGTGTGGCTGGCTTGAGCAGGCCACTGACAAGGATGATGACTGGCCTATTGAATGGGTAGCGTGGCACTGCAGGGCCTCCAAGTTGCTGCTACAAGTTGCATGGGTCGAATGGCTTATTCCAGAGCCGGCCTCCGTGCCTCATGACGTTGCTACTTTCCGTGATGCTGCTACCCTCCTGCCGTGGCTGTCCTTTGACAGTTTCATCCTGCCTACAGCCCCTTTTGGTGCCGATATTGGCAGGGTCATTGCCAGGGATGATCTTGGCACAGGGGAATATGTCTCCCATGACACTGCATCCGCCAGGCCCGAGCTACTTGACTTTGCCAGCTGGCCTGCTGGGCTCACGTCTCTCGTTACTGTGTTGTCGGGTGTTGGCCTTGTTCGCTCCCTTGAGCACCCATGGCCTCTCTCCTCCTTCCGTAATCTTGAGCCTTCTCTTGCCCGGCTGCGTCTGTTCTCCGACCTTGTCCGAGATGCTCTATACCTCTGGACCAGAGGTGCTCCTTGCCTTTTGCACATTTGTAAGCTGCAGTGCCCGGCGGTACAGGCCCTTCGCGCTGCAGCCCCCTTCACGCTGGACGGCTCGGCCAATGTTGTGTTGGGGAATGTTGCATGCCAGGAGTTTGCCTCTGCTTTCACCCTTTAATTACTGCATGTTGTATAGGCTGCATCCGACTCGGATACGTTGCCTTGAAAGTCGAAAGTCGAAAGGGCCCTTTCCTCCGCACGACGGGTCCTGCACATTACCGAGCCTGCACAGGCTTTACGGTTTAGGTCTTTGGGTTTAGGGTTTAACGCGTCTCGCGGCGCCCCATCGCACCCAGCGGTGGAGTGTCACCACAAAGCATTATGCATCGATATTGTATTCTTGTACCTGGCCCGCTGTGAGTTTGCACAGGCTACAACCCGACACAGTATAAGTAAACCCTAAACCCTAAATCCTGATCCCTAAATGGTAGAGCTACATGAATGCCTCTTGAACTCGCAGGCTTATAGAACAGAGCCCTAGGCCCTACTATTAACCCTAAACGAACCCTTGGAAGAACCCTTGTAAGAACCCTTGCTTGGAGGAATCTTGGCACTTGGAAAGTAAAGCTATGAGAACGCTGGTTGGAATTACAAACAAATATAACTATAGTTACAGTATTCATAACCCTAGCTAGTAAGTCCCGTGATCCTCTAACCTACTTCCCCAATAAGTCAGGGAAATAACAGTTTAAACTTTCAGATTACTACTACATCATAAGAACCCAATCAGTTTAAAGGTTGGGTATAGGGGAACTGAGCCAAAAGAAAAAAAACCTCCACGCACAGGTACCCTAAACCCTAAACCCTAAACCCTAAACCCTAAACCCTAAACCCTAAACCCTGAACCCTAAACCCTAAACCCTAAACTTATTTAAACCCTAAACCTGGCCTCATCGCCCTCCGGGATGTTGTCGTAGACCTCCAGAGGCCAAGGCTCGGAGGTACACTGGCTTAGTGGTTTAGGGTTTAGGGCTTAGGGTTTAGTGGTTTAGGGTTTAGGGTTTAGTGGTGTGGGGTTCAGGGCTTAGTGGTTTAGGGTTTAGAGTTTAGTGGTTTAGTGGTTTAGGGTTTAGGGATCAGATT